TATATTCACAAGCCAATTAATTCTGAAATGATAAAACTGAGACAGTAAATGATTTAGAAAGAGCCAGAGGTATTTCAACACCGTACTTGGTAGCCTTTCTTTCCATGGAGAAAGAGAGAAGACAACAGCCAACAGAGGTAGCTAACCAAGAGACTCCTTTCTTGATGCAGGTGCTTACCTAGCCCTTGGAAGTCAGTAGCACCAGTCATCCTACCCTGGTGCCGTAATGAGCGCACTTCCTACATTCAAGCGTTTTCTCCAGGCTCAAGGAGGGGTAGGACTCATTTCATACCAATCTGGAACTGGAAAAGTAACGGGTAATAACTTTAAGTGTGTAGTATGCCTTGTGTGTATGACTGTGTATAAGCTCTGGGTGGCCACCTCTTGGGCATTTTTAGATTCTCTCCTGTATTCAGAAAACAGCAAGGTCTTGATAGTAGGAGAAAGGCCTCCTACCTCATCAAATGGTTTCCTTGTATAGCACAGCTAATGCCCCCCCACCAGCTCACAAAGGGGAAATGACAGATTTGGAAGAAATCTGGAGCAGACTTAAGCACAGCTAAGCTCCTACTGGAATTCAAGTCTGATGCTTGCCTCAGATTTGTGACCGGTGTAGATTGTCTAACAAGGTTATACTAGATCACCAAGCTAGAATTCAGGGCTAGACAGAAGGATGACACCAGGAAATTGTTTGCTAAGGAGCAGCTGCAGGCAGGCAAGGTTTCCCGAGTTATAGTTTGGAAATAAATCAACATTAGTTCCTAATTATATTATTTCAAAGTCTTCAGTTATTAACCTTGTAGTAATAAGTACTGATGAGACCAAGAGCCTATGCTGAAGCATGATAAATAAAGAAACAACAAATGATATCTTGGTTTTAACATTTTATTGGGTAAATGATTTTAAAGGTAATAACAATAGTGTCAAAACTACTACAATATCTTTCCACAGCCATACCTTACAGACCCACATAAACCTTCTCATATTTTTTTCGCTCATTTTTAATATTTTAAAGCCATACATATCGTATAAAATGCCCGTTTCCAATAGTTTCTTCAAACTATTAAGCAATTAAACGTGAAAGGAAGGAGGATCTAGTTATACTGAAAGAAGTTTCGGGTAATCTGTGATGTCTTACTGTAATCAAAAAATAGGTTATTAAGAAAGAAGGAAAAGAAGAGCTACTCCAGGTAGCTATTTGCTCATTACAAGTCTCACCATTGCATCACCAAGGACTCATTATGCTGGTGACTGATTCAAAGTAATTTCGGGGAACATATAAAACACTAAAATAACTTAGAAACTAGATCCAAATATTTCAAAAGTAATCAACTTTGATATACAAAAACAGTCAGAGGTGGTTACAAAAGTTTGTTTTCTCAGTGCGTCTATGTACCAGCGCAGTTACTGGGTCCAGAGCAAAATAAAACGTTTACTTTCTTCTGAAACAGTAATAAAAAACAAGGAAAACGTATCTTTGTATATAAAGGATCAATGCTGGTCTTAAGAATAATGTAATCAGAAACCCTTAAATCGAGAGGCACACAACGGATTTCTGCTTTTAAAAAATAAAAGTCACCAGTTTATTTAAATGGAGGAGGTGCTTACACCCCTTAAATAAACTTAATTCAATTTAACATCACTAGCAAAAATCACTTAGAAACTGTACAAAAATAAAAAAGTTAACACATTTAATCCTGCAAGGTTTTTGTAAGGACTGGAAGGCAGGCTTTTGGAGCAGCATTTGGGCATGGCTGGGGGCTTCTTTGGTTTGATCTAACACACGTAAGAGATGGAACCTATTCCTGATGACAGTTTCCGACAGTTTCAAATTTCCTGCACATCTGAAGACAAGAAAAGAGGCCAGTATACAAACTTCCGGTGTGCTGGGCATTGGGACTGCACGCACTGGACTGAAAATCCTAGAAGCGCTTTAGGTGGGGTGAGGGGAAAAGAGCAAGCCTTGCACTTCTCCACAAGTTATACTGACCTCACAGGGTAGGGGAGTTTGGAGAGGGTAGTAGCACATTCTCCGTGCAGTCAGAAGGCCACTTGAAGGAGGAGGGGAAAACAATTGTTCTTTTAGAATCTGGTACCTGGCTGACCTTGTTTAAGAACAAGAAAACCCTTCCAAAAATGGAAGCCTTTTGCTACATACCAAAGTAAAATATGTACTATTTTCCAAGAGGAAAAATACACAGTTGCATTTGAAAATGGAAAACTTAAATGGAACTAATTAACATTTAAAAGGGGCTATGTAAACTTTGTGCTACTCAAATGAAGTTCAAGTATTACTTCTGAGCTGTTTAAAGATCACTGAACTTACACAATATTCTGGTAATAAGAGTGCAATTCACATTTGTGTTTCTGAACAAATAAACCACAACTGGCTAGAACACAACCTGTGCAATTATAATCTTCGTCAGAGTTCAAAACACATGCTACATATTTCAACATGTTCAAAGTTAATTCAAACCACATATTTGACAGCTTGGTAATACAGGACAAAGGTGAAAGGGTCTAGCATTTGTTTGTTTGAAGCACACCATTACAGTTTGTATTAACACCCTTTACACTACAAAGTCTTTTAGTCAACAGCTACTTAGAGACAAAAATACACTGTGCATTAAGTTGAATAAAAAAGGAGACAAAACTATCCTTTTCCCCCAAGCCATGGTGGAAAATATTGCTGACCTCGTCCTTTGAAGCCTGCAGGATGGTTATTTCTTCAGTATAACATTATTACACTGGTAAGAAAATCTGTATAACATCTGCATATATCAAGGATTTAAAAAAATCTGATATGATTTTAGAGTCCGCATGACCAGTCACATGACCTGCTCAAGACTGATTAGCACCTTTAAATACATAAACACACACGTATGTATGTATGTATGTGTAAGTATACACACACACATACACACACACATACATGTACGTAATAGATCTTTTCTTTAAAAAAAACTTCAACCATAAGCTCACCCAGGACAGGAGCCTGTTGAACTGATGAGATGATGGATTCGATGAATTTCACAACAATATTGGTCTATTTTGTCTCTCTTCAGTTTGCTTGTTTTTTTTACTTTTTTTTTTTTTTTTTTTGCAGCAGACAATATCATTCAACTTGTGCTCAGTTTCCCTATAAGGGCAAGAAAAAATTTCCATCAGGTAGCCACTTGTTTTCATACTGAAAGACTAATCTGCTCCAAAATGTTCCCAAGTAGAAATGAAAGGACTAAAAATCCCTTTCTAAAGCTCAACAGCTAACTTTTTCTGAATAATCTCTAGATTCAGTGGAACTGGCTACCAAGATTGCATTTCAGGCTAACAATTGGCTTTGTAGTTAAGGCATCACACCGGAAAATGATTAGTTCAACAATGGATGCTGTGGATGAAGGAATACCAACAACATTCTAAGAACTCTCATCAAAAACTAAAGCAGTTTGCTTTGCCACATTGACAAGCAAAAGAAATTTGCCAATTATGTCACAAGCTAGAAAAGGATTCTTGAATTCTCAACTAGCAGTCTGTCACTTGTCCCAGCAACTATATGCATAACCTATACCATTTCAATATTCAGTGGCATATAGTTTTAGAATGTATATTCTGCACCATATGTACAGTCATCACTTGATATATTGGTTTCCTGTTTGAAAAAAAAACTATATACACACATACATATATATGTGTGTGTGTACACATATACATATATATATATTTACTAACATAAGATGAAGGTAACCTTTCTCCAGAATCTGTCAGTTTCCTGGGGACATACGGTCCTCCTACTGACATCAGGAAGTTCTCTTTGTATGTATCGTGAGAAGACTAGCCCTGCAAATGAGCGGGGCTCTAACTATATCATATCTAAGTGCCAACACCATTACTCCATTTTTATAGGTGTAATGATAACATCTTAACAACATAGTAAATGTGTTTCTATCACAAGTATGTAGTGCAGAAAGTGATTCAAGCTATTTCACAATTCTAAAATTCCAGTATTGTCCCCATGACAAACATATCTGAAATCATGGCATACACGAACTTCTGTTTCACTAGATTATCTTTACCATTTTTTTAAATGGTAGCTAAAATTGTCTCTGGCCAATCATGACTTATTGAAACCTAAAGCTAACAAATTTAAATTAAAATACAATAGACAAATGTCTCTTTTTGGTTTTTTGCTCAAAATATTTTTTTTTTCAGTTTAAAAAATACTTAAGAGTAAGGAATTTGTCTAATCTGTTGCTTCACATATAGAAACAATAAAACATTATAAGAATATTTCTCTAAATTGCCTTTTTTTCTACCCCCCCCCCATTTAATTCCACTTAATTATACTCTTTTCAAAGGCACTAAATTCTATATATGCTCTCTTCTTAATATTCACTGCTCTTCAAAGTGATTTCTGTAGCATATTTGAAAGGTAGTTTGTACTTTCTTAAAACAGTGTTTTAGTTTGTAATGTCATTCTACAAAGTGATGAGGCAGTCTCTTTTATGATAACCAGCACAATAGGCATATATGATTTCTCACTCTCTGTGACAAGCCCTCTCATGGACCTCCAAATGTGAGATACTAGAACTAAAATCATGTATTTTAGCCACGGAAAACATATACTTAAGGAGTGAAGATCCACATCTTAAGTTCTCATAACAAGTGAATTTTAGACAAACCCAAGAGTAATATACAAATACCTGATATTTGATATGAATTACTCCCAAACTCAACCATCAAAAATATCTACTTACTGAGAAAAACTAAAGAAAATTCTTAAAAACTGCACGCTTTCTTCCATCCACAGTTGAAGGAAGGAAGGAAAGAAGGAAGGAAGACAGGAAAGAAGGAAGACGAGAAGGACAGAAAGATGGAAACCTGACTTAAATAGGAAAGCCAAATTCTATATAATATAAGGAAATAAAACCCCCAAAGTTATATATGCTATGCTGCAAAAAAAAAAAAAAATCAATGATCAAAATAATAAAACAGGATCTTCTCAACAAATGTCATTTTCCTACCCGTTACCATGATGATCCTGACTATGTCAAAGCTTCATCATGGCAACGGAAACTATCATCATAAAATGGTACAGTAAAAGAGATAGCTAGACCAAGAAGGGGTAGGGTCTCCTGGGAAGAGGTCTGCAGAGAGGCCCAGTGACTGGTTGTGCGGCTCAGTGTCAGGAATAATGGTTGTATGGTGGAAGGGGATGCCCAATGCCATTTTGGAAATGGTGATGCTGGCGATGAGCAAGGTATTCAGCATAGCTCAGGGTCATCTTTTCACTACGGTACCTGAAAGAAAGTCATGGGAAAGACAAAGTTAACATCAGGAAATAGTTAACATGCCAACATCAGAGTTAGGAGGGATCTCAGAGATCATTTTATAGATGGAGAAACAGAAGCCCAGAGAGAAGCAGTGACCTCCCAATGTCACACAGCTAATAAGTAGCAGAGCTAGGTTCAGAACCCAGGAATCCAAACTCTCAGTCCAGTGCTCTTTCCACACTACAACTCATTGTTTAATTTGTTCTTCTAGAAATTGCAGAAATTTTATTTTTTTCTTCTAGAAATTTTATTTCCCCCTTACTCCCAGTTTGCTGACAGGAAGGAACAGGGTAAAGCCAACCTACTACCATTATGTATGCATCATCATTTACTTGAGTACTTTTTCTTCAGGGATCTCCCATCTCTTTCTCTCTTTACCAGTTCTTTTCCCTCTGTGCACACATCTACTTAGGTCTCCTCATTAAGTAAAAAAAACTAAAACTTTTCTTAATCCCGGTACCCTTGAACCCTTTCCCATCTCTAGTCTGCACTGCCACATTTGTCAAAAGAGCAAGTGTTTTCTACAACATCACACCCCCCTGGTTCTCCCCCTACTTCTCAGACTGCTCTTTAACTAACTGCTTATCCTATCCCTGCCCTGTAGGATTTTCCTACATTTTTATTGTCAGCTCTTTTGAATCTATACTCTTTTCCCCACAGGAAAGCTTCCTTCATAGCTTCGGCTCTGACCTCTTTACAGATGACTCCCAACTCGCCATCTCTAGCCATGAGCTCTACACATGTACATTTTCAGTGACCTACTAGACATTTCTATGTAGCTATCCCAGGAAGCACTTCAAAACCAGGACGAATGCATGAACATGACTCTCCTGTGGACCTTATTTCAGTTAATGGCATCACCATGGTCCCTTTCATCTAGATTAAAGCCTCAAAGTCATCTATCTTTGACTTGTTCCTCTTCCCTACTTCTAAATGATGACTAAGTCTTTTCATTTCTTTATAACAGTTCTTTCCTTTCTTCCCATCCTACTGCCACAGCTCCCATTTCACATCTCTTGAACTGCTGCCACAGATTCTTAGATAATAGCAATGTCTCCTAACTAATTTTCCCATTTCCAATTCCAAACCTACACTGCTCCAAATCCATCCTGACTCCCCTGTTTAAAATCCTTCAGTGGCTACTAACTCTCTATCATATCAATTCCAAACTTCTTAGTCTGGAATTCCATACCCTCCAACCAACCTTCTGGGCCGTATTTTCCTTTAATGATTGCCTTCTATATAAGTACACTAAACGGCCAGACAAACTAGACTAACATTCCTCAGAACTTGCTCTATACTTTGCTTGGCTCACAAGGTCCTCTTTAAGGGAATCCCTTTCTTCCTCCACTCTCTGTCAAATATTCTACCTATTCTTCAAGCCCAGACCAAAATCTACCTCCTCTTTGAAACCTTCTGTTATCTTCCATCCCCTCCTGGAATTTCTCTTTCCCTACTCTATGATCTCACATCACCCAACACATTCTATCTTGTATTAATAATTATTTTTGTACATGCTCTTCTAGTCCGCTAGACTGTGAGCGCAGGGAGAGCAGCAACAGAGGCATTTTCAAATTTGTAACCCCTTAGAGCTTAGAATAGTCCAATTTTTAGACTATAGGTATTCAATGTGGTTTTATGGAATTGAAATAAATGGAAACAGCAACCCATTTTCTTAAAATGTTTGATATTTCCCTTTTAAATAAGTATCCCTATTATTCCATGCTGAAATTTATTTCGCATTTGTAGGTCTAGCTCAATTGTGTTTTTCAGTAAGCTTTTATGGTAGACGTCCACCAGTGCCAAAATTCGAAGGTTAAATTCAAATTTGAGGACTGCTTATCAGAATCCTGGGGTTCTGCTAAGCAATGTCAAAAGCTAGCAAACAGATAATTCAGGTACTTTCTCCAGTAATGCCGCCCAAAGTCTTAGGGCTTGCTTTTACAAAGCCAGAGTAAGCCAAGCAGAGTTCCATTGTATCCACCCTCAGTATGGCCCTGCCATTCATTTGCACTCTGGTTCAGAAAAGAGAAGCAAGTATAGTTAAAGAGAAAAAGGAAAATCAAAAGGTTATAGGCATATACATCCTGGTTAGCTCTGCACCAGAAAATGCCTTCTGTACCTGGTCAGTTTTATGGTTTTCCTGAATTCATTAGTAATTGGAGCTTTGTATCCTCCTTTCCTCAGTAAGGAGTCTATGGTCTGAATGTGGTCCCATCCTGTGGAGAGTCGACCAGATAAAGTATCAGTCAAGCACATGTAATGAGCACCTTTGGTTAGATACAAAGTGACTTCGTAGAGGTCAGCTATCACTGTCACCAAATGCCACCAACTCCTTTGGTCCTAAAAACAATTACACAGAAGAGCTAAGGTTTTATCCTGTACAGAAGCAAGTTCCCCCCACACACCTTAAATTCTAGCTATCTAAGATATCTAACAACATTGGCTTCATTATCTCAACCACATTTGAAGGCAAGAAGTCTAAGAGACTGGCAGAAACTGCTCAGTCATGTTTCTGTAATGAACCAGACACTACTCTCTAACAGTGAAATCTTTTAAAAGGAGGAAAGAGTCTAAATGTCATTGTGCCAGCTCGGTAGTATTCAGGACTCCCACACTAACTCATGGTAATTGCTATTCCTAATGGTATCTTCTGTAGTCAATCAAGTGCATTTTGTGTTCTAACATGTGATGGTATACTAATATCCAAGGCACTCCATCTCTTATGTATGCTTTATGAAGTCAATGATACTACAGAATTGAGACATTTTCTAAAGCAGCCCAAATAAATCTTCAGATAGCTGCCTTAAAGGCTCTCTTGTTGTGGAGTTTAATGAGGTTAAATTTTATTGTTATATAGCTGACAGTGATATGAAACAAACATGGGAAAACGAAATTACAAATACTTTCTGATGAGAAGGAAAGCTCCATAAGATGAAGACGACATATTAATTTCAACTAATATGAAACTAGAATTTAGAAATGGCTAGAAAGGACAAAATACTACAGTGTAAAAAGTTATTTTGTAGTACAGTGTTGGTTCATATAGGCTTGTGATACCTCTATGAAAACAGGAAAACTTGTTGATTAGAAGCTGCAGACCAAGCATATAAAACACTAGCATTTCATGTATTCTCAACGGCCTTAATCTTAATGGGAAACCTACAATCTTAATATTAGTAGAATGAGTAATGGCAACCCCCTAAGAATGAAACATTTTGATACTGACAATGACAATGAACTATATCGCTATTTAAAAAAAAAAATAGCTTGCTTATGTCCCAAGGCTATGCAGTGGAATATGGGAAAATGGCACCTCAAATGAGTAGCAAATTGTTGCCTAAGATAAAATCCAACTTTTATAAATCTTTACTTTTTTTTAGAAGTATATTTGTGTGTGTTTATACTGTCAAACTATAGTGCACAGATTCAACTTCGGTGTAATTCACCAATTTGATATAGACATTGCAGTGGCAGTGATGGAAGAGTCGTTTCTTATAATTTGACGTTGATCAATTATCAGACATAGCTGCAAGGTCAGATACCTCAGTTTAATTTGTATATTTGTTTAAATTCTTCACCAGATCATATGAAATAAAGTACAACAATGACCTTGCTCCTTTGCAACCTCCGGTAGGTAGGTGGCGGTGCGTTTTGATCCTTTTTCATTGATGAATTCTATTCTAATGCCATGTACACCCACCTGAAAGAAATTGGCAGTTTTATTAGTACAGTCTTCTTTATAGAAACAGAAAGAAAAGGTTATAATTTAACTTTCAAGAGAACACAGTTCTTCCTTTTCCCTTGTGTTTGAAAGGACGTATCAGTTTTCTCTTTCCAAAGCTATGACTTTGGGTTGTGAAGGCCATTATGATGGCCATGAAGACTAAAAATGTGTATTTGCAGATGCTCAACATGTACTGGGCTATGCTATTCTGTTTGGAACTGGGACGGCCAATCTGGGGCTGTGTATAGAATAAGATGGTTGATGGCAAGAATCCTGCCCCCACTCCCAAACTGTGGCTTGAGACAATCCGGAACTAGAAAAAAGGAACTGAATTCAAAGAGATAGCAACCAACCATCCTGTTTTTCAGGTACAATCACCACTTCAGATTAAGTTCCAAAATCTCTGGGCTGACCCCAATGGGTTTTTTAGTCCCAAACAGTTTGGGTCTAAAAAACCTGTTGCCATCAAGTCTATCCTGACTCATAGCAACCGTCTAGGACAGAGTAGAACTGCCCCACAGGGTTTCCAAGGCTGTAAATCTTTAAGAAAGCAGACTGCCACATTTTTCTCCCACAGAGTGGCTGGTCGGTTCGAACCACCAACCTTTTGGTTAAAGCCAAGCACTTAACCACTGCACCACCAGGGGTCCTTCCAAACTGTCTAGTCCCTTTAAAACCTTGAATTATATGTAATTATGCAAACATGGTCAGGTAAGACTGAAAAAATATTAACAACCAGTAGATCCTACAGCATCATCCATTATAGATAGTATTTCTAAAAAATGCATACGGCTTAAAGTGGGCCAGTGGTAACCCCTCACTGTCCATCTACATCATTGCCCCCACACAGTACTGCTAAATTTAACAGCAAAAAAGATTTCAAATCCCTTTGGGGCAGGGTATTTTTGCAGTTTCTCTGGATACTAGTCCAGAGACCACTATAACTTTTTTTATGTGAAACAGACAAACCTTTGGTGATGCTCTAAAAGTTAGTTTTCTAAGTAAGTGTGGGCAGTTGCTTAGTAATTTTTTTAAGTAATACACTTTTTCTTTGATTAGCATGGAATCTAAAGCAATTTGTCTTTTCCCCTCATATTTCACATAGAATAGTTTATAGACCTAAAGATGATAAAAAAAAAAGTCCTTAACTTCTTTGCAAACAGTGATATTAAAAGTGGAATTTCAAAAGCATAAACAACCCCATTCTATTCTCCCAGAACTAGACTTGCTCTCAATCAATGGTTCCCAAGTGGAGTACAAGGCCTTTCAAAGTACTGGAGGCAAGCTATAAGACCATGTAAACATTATTCTCCAGGAATGGGCCTTCTTTTCAAAGCAGGTAAGTGGAGTCATAGACATGCATTCTTTCCAACAGTATGGATGGAAGGTCTAGAAGACGGGGAGGGGAGGTCGATGAAAACCACTTTTGTTTCTTCTCTTACCCTGAAATTTTCCAATTTTTCAAGGAAAAAAATTCTCTGGAAATCCATTTTGTTCTTTCCCCCCAGGTCTTCATACTTCCATCCATTAGAGCCTGTCAGATCTTCTAGGCAGTTTGTTTTTTTTTTATTAAAGCATATCTCTGTTGCAGTTTCTTCCATCTATTTAATATCAGTACACTTATGAATCTCCTGCTGAAAATGCAACTGGGGCAACTGTTTAAAAACTAACACAGGAAGGCCTCCCATTCCCTGTGTGAAAGGACTATGGACCACCGAGAAGAAATCTGAGTGCTTAGCTATCAGCTATTTCCAGGATAAAGGACATCTACTAATCTCCCCGGTGCCTGACACAGTACTGAGACAATGACAAATTTGCAAAGGTTTCTGTATACTGAGTTTCTGATCAGTGACTTTGACATTTTTTTCCTTCAACAATATCAGATTCTTTATATTTTTAAAAATACAGAGCATAGTTTATGCTCCCATCATTCACTGAAATTAATTTTTAATCTTCAACTCTATTCTTCAAAAATCTGTCATGTTAAAATTGAAAAGAATACTTGATGTTTATTCAGGTGTCTAAATAAAACTTCGGAGAGGAAGAATGTCTCCCCATCCGTGGTGTCCAACTGGTATGGAGTGCAGAGGGGCCACAACATTTATCAGAATTTTGGGAAGTTTCAATGCTTAGTTAAGCAAGTACAGTTTAGAAAAAGAACAACTCCCTAGGTGATTTTTATTCTAGGTGAATTAGATAATCTCTAATAGCCAGTCTAACTCTGACAAACTGTGACTATGTATTGAAAAAAAAAAGATTTAGGTAAATGGAGGGAGGTGATTTAAATACATTAGGTCCTGTCTTCATCAGAGAATACATGATGTGTTCTTCAACAAAAATTCCAGAGGTTTTAAAGCCTAGTAATTTAACAATTAAAACAACCATTAAGACTAATTGTATGGTATGTGAATGATATCTCAATAAAGCTGTTATATTATTAAAAAAAGAGAGAGATTAAGACCAAAAATGAAGGACATGTTGACCAAAATAAAAATTATTCACCAATAATATTGCTTTATTTACTTTTGTAATTTGAAAAGGCCCCACCATCAAATTTGATATGGAAAAAAAATCATTAAAATTCTCTCCTTTTGAGCTTACTGCCACATTTACAGCTTTGTTTTCTGGCTTCCTATGATTCTGAGCAATTGAAAGACCCTATAGATTGAACTGTATGCATGGTGATTTTTAAAGTGAATCCTTTGTAAGAAATAATTTCTTTGATAGGTCAAAGATACACTTCACAAAGATATAAAGCCAAAAGCAGAGTGACTCATTTTTCAACTAGTAGAATCAGGAGAATGATAATAATGTTCTTAATAGACTCAAACCATAATAGCTTTTTGTTACCTGTTGAGCAACAGTATTTTCCTTACTCCCAGGACCACAAATGCCATCACATAGTCATACTGCACAATCAAAACAGGAGAGTGGAAAATGGCCTGATGTTGAGAATGACAAATTCTGGCTAACCTTTGTAAATCACTGGCTTTGCAAATAAAAAGTCATCTCCACTGAAATAAGCACCCAAACTAATTTTACACTGTTTCAGCGGGGCACCTGTCATAGCTGCAATGCCAGAAGTGTAACCCTCATACATCAAAACTGAATCCTCCCTTACATAGACTGGAAAATCCTTTGGCCTAGAAGCATCCCAAAAAAACAAAGGCTATAGCCTTCTTCTTCTTATCAGCTAGATAAGAGACCAGCTAACCAAGGAACTGGGATTCCCTGAAGCAAACTTACTTTAAAACTCTATCTCAGTAACTTTCTATTTCTAAGGATGGGTAAGGAGATAGGATGTGGGCAAACTATGTTACCAAATATACCACTAACTAATCCTACCACTGCCGAAAATACAGGCAGGTGAGCAAAAACTGGAAACTTGTAAATCTGGCCTTATGGGAGTCTGCAGGTCATTTTTTAAATTATTAGATGATCTGAAAAAAAATATGCTTTCAAGGTCCATCAGCTGTGATATTATCCTTTTAATCAAGACTGTACTTTTGCTAAGCAAGGCTATAAATCAACTTGAATGGTAGTAAATTAAATGTAGGACTTATAGATAAGAGGATATGGAATTAAACAGAGCTGTATCTGTGTGTGCTGAGAGAACCCTGTGACCAGTTCAATAGACTCCTATTTCATGCTAAAAAGAAAGCCATATTTATTTTGACCCATTCCATAGCAAGTGATTTTTATTAATGCTATTATACAGTCGTTTGTTTTTAACATTGCTCAGAATGATTAAATATCAAGATTAATGTTAAGACCCTAAATATATATCTTGATTATTCTGGGGTTGATTATCCAGTTTGAGGATTATTTATGCATCCACAACTCCACCTGGCATCAGCCTCATCCTGTTTCTTCTCTTGCCCATTTCTCTATTTGTTCACTACTCTATCAGAGAGCATGTGGGCACAGACGGAGGAGATACACACAAATTAATCAATTTTGCTACATAGTAATAGGTTTGGTAGGAGAAGAGATTCTAAATAATGGCAAAAATGAAGCTTCTAGACCGTCTACAGATTTCATTTATCCGTGTTATCTGGTCCCTTGTTAGAAATGTGGCTTCATTTAAAACTATTATCCTCTAATGCAGTGACCCTCAACAGAGGCGCATTAAAAAAAAATACTGCCCTCTCCCACCCTGTTTGAATACATGGCCCACATTATGCTTCACACAATTGCATAGGCAAAGCTTAATATACCCTAGTTTGTCTATAAGGCAAGTGTTAGTCCTGTACCCCACTAGCAGCATACAAAAGGGTCTCGCTTTTATTTGTGGACCTAAGCAGCAAGCCAACATCTGAATATGATGAAACATGAAAAAGAGTATCTGGGTAAGTCGAGTAGGTTCCATGCAAGCCTTTGACCATTTGGATCTACAGTTACCTCCACAGGTCCTGACCCTCAGAGCCAAATCTGGCCCTGGTCACATCCTGGCCAATGGGACCAATCTACTTCCTCAGGTGACATCCTGTCAAAGTAAATGCTACATTTAGTCCCACTCTACCCAATTTTCAGAACCAAATGCTTGGTTTCCCTGGAATAATATGGCCATAGTTCACATCACCCATTTTCACCTTGAATAAAATAAAAAAATATCAAGAGGTCAAAGAATCGAAAAGTTGTCAGACATGCCTTTTTAGATGAAATCATTTCGCAAAATATTCTTTGCAATTAACAAAGCAGCCAGTTACTGGCCATTCGCATAAGCCTGCCCTGCCAGACTCAATATGCCAGTTCACTGAATTGAATGAAAGGACTCTGTTCCTAATGAGAGGAGCTCAGGATGTTTGGCACATCCCCCTAACCTTTAGAGGCTGGCATCACAGAAGACACGCATGCTCGCTCATAAAACAGCCCCTGGTACCACGGACAGAAGCAAACACTGCATTAGACAGCCTGTGGGTCTGACCTAGAGTCAGGCATTCCTTATATTCTTAGGAGGAAAAAGACATATGTGGTATTTTTCCTAAAAGCACAAAAACCACAATGCAGCACATTCCACTCTTTCATTCACAGCCCTAGAGCACATTCTGCCCCCCACCCCCCGGTTCAGCCTTCTGCAAACAGCAACTCTTCCTTTTCCCAATGAAAGCAAATTCAACATACTTCAAACCTGGATCTACTCCAAATTTAACCTCTTGAATAATTACTCTTTGGGCAAGAAAAATTAAGGTTTCTGTCATAAAGGCTGATAACAATTTGTACAGATCCTAATGAGTCACTTCCCCTAATCCTCATATTACCAAACAAATTTTAAGATTACATATTATCCAGATCTCCATCAAATCTTCAAAGTTGTGACTTTACATCACTACAATCCACCCACACCAATTTAAGAAGCAAGTCTGAAATTTTAAAGGTGCCCATCTGTTTAACATGATCCCTTCAGAATCTGGTCAAATAATAAATTTTAAAAACTGTTGCTGTAGTTCAATTTTTTTCTTAACTCAGTAATTTTTACCTCTGTAAACATTAAAAATTATAAACCTGGCCTATTTTTTGTTTACAAAACTAGGACACATGTATTACCAAAAAAGACATCCTTTAGAAAAGTATAAAGGAGAAAATAAAGATGACTAGTAATCTAGTACCACCTAGAGGTAACTCTTGCCTTAGTGACTTAAAAATAATTTTCTCCTGAACTGAAATGCCACCACCAACTATATTTTAGGCTGTTTTTATCCATTATCCATTATCTAGTTCCTGTTGCTGTCCTTGCTTTCAAATATCCCTTAAGTAAAAGGCTTTTAGAAGCAGAAGAAATACTGGAAACATAAATCAAAAAGGATAATTGATTACAAAACCATTGCTTGGACACAAGTAACCTTTTAACATATTCTACTATAAAAATCCTGCTTCATCATCTATCTTAGCTGAGGTTATTTTTTCTGTTGCTTTTTTGTGAAAACAACTGCAAAGGTCCCCTCGACCAAAATATGTATGTGTTTGCTCTCCTCTAAAACCCTTGCAAATTAGTCATCTTTAGCTTAGAAATTAGTTCAGTCTCCATCGACCAATTCTTGGCTTTTGCAGAGCTTACCAAAGGACCAATTAGTGCCAATTTTGATTCATGTAGGAACTTAGACATCTTGTCTATCAGGAACACAAGCCTACCAATTTACTTCACAAAGGCCATTGAACAACAATTTGATAACATTTATTTTAACTAACAGCTGACACACAACTCTAAAATACCTGATCTATCTAATAATCATCGCCACGAACTTTTAGAGAATTAGTGAGATTTTAAATAAATCATGGCTAATGAAGAGGTGCTTTGAAAAGCTATGAAGCCAAGCATGTTTACATATCATTTGCAATGAAAGAAACTGTCCTTACTCTAAGGTTTTACAGAGAACAAGTGACAGCTCAGAGTGCAATTAAGGAAAAAGAAAACCAATTCTCTATAATGATTAATTACAATGAGCATTCCGTAAAAAATGAACATCCTGAAGCTTTCCAAAGAAAGTTCAGGCAACACAGGTGACCTTTAAATAAAAAGCCTGCTTTTCATCAAAAGTTAGTAAAACACACTTCTACCATTTTTAAAAAGGGGAATGAGGAAGGGAGTGAATTTACAGACAAAGAAACTAAAGTTATACAATTTCTTAAAATCTGGAGATGTGAATTAGTTTACTTTTCAAGGCTGGGATGGAGGGAAATCACCTCTTGGTAAACATACTCAATATGAAATAATGTTGTTTGCCTGATAAGAAACTAAGAAAAATCCTATTCATGTTAGAACTGTACATTGAGTATTTGACTCAATACAGTTTTTCTCAGTCTACAAAAGAGATTTGTTCCTAAAAAGTTACATGTGGGTTGAACTTAGTAAATGAATTAATCTTAAAGTCAAGAGGAAGACAATAAAGAAACCCTATAGTGAATTCTTTCTGCAAAGCAAAATATCTATTTGTACAGTGAAAAATTATCCCCTAATCTATTTCCTTAATTTGGATTTACATGTATAATGTTCACTTAAAAACAGGGGATGCAATAATAAAATAGAGGCATTTATAGTTCCATAATATTTTCCTTCCTAAAGAGAATTCTTTTGTGAAAAAGAAATCTAGAAAATGTACCATTTTTTAAACTGGGCTATTTTTCACTTTTGGTGCCTATGTTTAAGTTGGAAATGGCCATTTTTAAAGTTAGAGAACTCTTCTTATGACTTCTACTTGGCTAGTGGTGATTCATTCTTTCGAAGCAAAATGAAAGAGAAGCAATTTCAAAAAAGGAGTCACAGAATCACACAGTGTCACAGTCAGAAGGGGCCTTAGGTGTTATCTAGTCCAACCTTTTCAGCTTCCTGGTAAAGAACTGAGGTTCAGAAAGGTCACAGAGCTGGCTAGTGGCAGTAAGGAATAGAACCTGAGTCTCTTGATTCTCAAAATTCAGCACTCCCTCAATTAAATGCTGGGGATACACACACCCATGCCAACTGTACATGACAGAGTAGACTGTAATGGAACTCCTGGAGAAGAGGGCGGAAAACATCCCCCACCAAACAACACAATGGGAGGAAAGGAGGAAATAACTCGAGGAGGTCCAAGAATGGACTGAACAGCCCATTTCACTAAGGGTACCAACAGCTAACGGATATTTTTATGCATTAAATCACCTTCTAAGAAGTTACTTTACTTTCTATGGCTTGCTCCCCCACTAGGTTTCTTACACATTGACTTGTTGATTCACAGCAAATTCTTTCTAGATGGCCAGGAGGCATGAAACATTCCTTTCCCAGTGCTCCACAGCACATGAAAAACATTTAAAGAATCAGGACAAAGACTAAATTATCGTTAATGATCGTGACATCTTACACAAAAATCCCAAAGTCCCTGGAAAAACACTGTGAGAAGCATTTTGCTAAATATATTAAGCCCGTATTTTTATTAAAAGGCAGCAATCTGAAGTTAAAAGAGAGACAAAACATGCTTTACATCATAGTTGGGGGAAAAATAACCAAGGGAGGGGGACAACATATACAACTAGAAGCCATTTATTTCACTTGGTGACTCTGTGAGTGACGCACCATCTGGGTATGAATGGGAACTTTTCAGTGGTACATTAAGAGGAGCTATAAAAATGTAAACCTTTAAGGGGGAAGAAAGGGTGAAAAGGAGAACATTAACTTCTAAAATCTATGGGAGATAATGACGGTAACCAATTTATTCATCTCTTCCGTCTCTTCTCTCATGAAGGTTGTTACAAAAGCGCTCTATGATTAACTGTAGGTGAACACGTCAGAAATGGAGCTGTGATCGTTCAAGAGGTATACTTTAGAGGTTGCTTTTAAAATGAAGTGCAGCTCTCTGAGTACCAGGAGTCCAGCAAGGCTTATGTATAATGACAGGTGGTTTGGTACTTTAGGGACAGAGCCATACTAGGGGCTTCGGGTCTAGCTCTTTAGTCCAGGGACAGATTTTTGGCATCACACCACAACCATGCTGGCCAGCCCCACCCAGCATGAGCTGATTACCCATCAGTGATGTGCGCTAAGAAGGAGCAGTCTGTCTTAAGATCACAATGCATTGCCCAAGCGACAGCTGTATGGACAGGTGAGATATCAGTGATCCAGGCAGCTGGATATGGCAAAAACTGTCTTCTGGTTTGTGAAAATTCCATTAATTATTGAAATATGGCCTAAGGGTCTGCATTCAAATACAGAAAAGATTTCTTCCTCGTGCCTCAAATGATCTTGTCTCTAAAGCACAGCAATAAAAGATGCCTGACAATAATTTAGAAAATATTTTTACTTCTGTCAGCAGATTGCTACATTAGCCTCCACAAGATCACTGGTAGCATACTTGCTATACGAGTTCTTCTACAAACAAAAGCTTATTCATTTATATCATCCTGAAAACCAGTAGCTAGGAGATGACAGACCTAGAATTACCCCTTAAGTTAAGCTCCAACTATTATAATGACATTGGTTTTATATCCACTCAGATCTTTAAAAGGAAACATATCTCCCAAACAGTTTAACTGTACCAGTTCTAGGATACGTATTGTTTTAGAGGGTTCCAACATGGTACATGAGCTTTTCTTTCTTTCCAAAGTACTGTGTCTGTCAATCATCCTGTCATTCAGAATTAAGATAGTGCTGTCAACTCAAGAACACAGAACAATGGTGATAAGTTCTTGTGTTCAAACACAAGGCAGAATCATGTTGGATTTCTCCCTTGGGGAGCAATTTTCCTCGTTTAACAACCATTCTAGCCTTGCAGGTAGATATTTCAATTTATCAGATCATGAATTTTTTCCCCCAAATTAATTACTTATCATCCTTCTCATACCTACTGAGACAATAAGTAGATCTTGATGTGGGCAATGATCAGTGATCCTTGGAAAGCTGAGATCGCTGTTCCCGTTTGTCTTTACAGCCACTGTGGATGGTAGTGGTGTTTTTAATGATTACCCAGATTTATTGAGTGGCTACCTATAGACACTAATCTTAAATATTGTAATTGCTGTTTTGAGGAAATAAAACATATGGAAGCATTACTGATCATTCTGTCAATTCAACATTGACTTGAATTTAATTACATCCACCTGTGAAACAATTTATCAAGCATTCCTCACATTACAAACAGAAGCATTCTAGCCTTTAACACAAAGTTTGAAGTAAAGCCTACTTCCCTACTAACTTCCATTATAAAATCAGAGATACATTATCGAAAGAATTTTCAAATAGACTTAAGTTAAAAACCTTAGATGAAGAGGACAGTAAGATGGTAAGTAGCCCTGTTGCAGTTCACTTGTTTCCTGATCATTTGAAAATGAGGTAGCTATTCCACTGGTCACGTTCCTCATTCTCATGACCACAGAGATGTCTCTCTTGTTACTGAAATTACATAAGTCTATGCTTTTTGAGATTTCTAGAATTTGCCCTATTTCTGCTTTGATCTGGGCATTTTATCCCTTTAACTGAAAATTCTACTACAGTAACACACTTCACCAGTGGGGGTCAACTCTCAAACTGTAGTTTGACTAGAAAAACCCTTTATTAGAGGCTTCTGCTTATATAAAACATACTCATTACCTAATTTTCGACTTTAAAATTCTCTGTTCTGTAACAATTCTGTAACATTCTGTAATGATATCCTTGCTTTCCCTCTAATACAAATACTTTTCACTTCAGTTTAAAATGAGATATTTATGGTGAATAGGATATTTCATTTGTGGAAGAAAAGCTGTACCTATTGGACAGTGTAAAATTTCTCAAAGTAAAGAGTATATTTTCAGAGTACAGACTGACTTCTCATAAAGGAAATTCCCAATAGAAATAAATTTATATACAAAGATCAACTATAGACAAAGACCTCCCCATAATCTTCTTATAAATAATGGTTTATATTATATTCATTATGATATATTTATATTTATTTATATTCAATGATACCAGTTACATAAAAAATACGCAAATGTACTGATACAAAGACACAGAAAAAGAATGGAAAGAAATATACCAAAATGTTAATACTGCCTACCTCAGAATGGTGGAAATACGAATATTTTGTGTTTCTTTTTTATACTTTTTTTAATTTTTAAAGTTTTCTTCTTCAATAAATTAGAATTATTATTATGGAGAGCAGGTATATCTATATAGAATTTTTTTTGCATTTTTATTGTAGTAAAATACATGTAACGTAAAATTTACGATTTTAACCATTTACAAGTCTGTACTCAAGTGACATAAAATACTTCACAATGCTGTGCAACCATCACCACTATCTAGTTCCAGAACTTTTTCATCACCCCAAATGGAAACCCTGTACCCATTAAGCAGTCACTTCCTATTCCCTCCTTCCACCCAGCCCCTGGAAACCACTAATCTGCTTTCTGTCTAAGGATTTGCCTATTCTGGATATTTCTTATACTGTATTTTTACGCAAATAACGTGCACCTTCAATGTTTGTTTGCCAACCGTGCCCTCCCTCCCATGAGGTATTTTCATAAGTTCTGCTATGCCAACTTTTTTCTTACATGTTGCTGTTAAACAAAAAATTAGCATAGTGTGCTTATGAAAATGCCTCACGGGGAGGGCACACTTGGCAAACAAACGTAGAAGGTGCACGTTATTTGCGTAAAACTACAGTAAATGCAATCATACATATATGACGTTTTGTGTCCTGTTTCTTTCACTTAGCATAATGTTCTCAAGGTTCATTCATGTTGTAGCATGTATCAGTACTTTACTCCTTTTTAGGGCTGAATAATACTCCATTGTATGGATGTATGGAGTTCCTGGATGGTTGGTGCAAAAAGTTTAAGCCACTTGACTACTAACCAAAAGGTTGGCGGTTCGAACCCACCTCAGCTCCTCAAGAAGAAAGGCCTGGCGATCTGCTTCCAAATGGCCACAGCCTTGAAAATCCTATGGAGTGCAGTTCTACTCTGCAACACATGGGGTCACGATGAGTTGGAATCAACTCGACAGTAACAGGTTTGGGTTTTTGTTTTTAGTATGGATATACCACATTTTGTTTATCCATTCATCAGTTGATGGACATTTGTGTTGTTTCCACCTTTTGGCTATTATGAATAGTGCTGCTATGAACATTCATGTACAAGTTTTTGTCTGAACACCTGTTTGGGCATATACCTAGGTGTGGAATTGTATCAATATATAATTTTTTAAATGTAGTAATGCTTTTTCAGAGTTATAAAGGATAACACTTAGAATATCACTCCTACAATAATACCATTCCATTTTCAGTCACTGACTATGGTGCATTTTTTTTTAAGCCCAAACCACATTCTTGCACTTAAAAATTTTCACCCTTACTCTTTGGAAACAAATTTCTCTTATGCCAAATACTTTTCACTATGATGAACTAACTGAAAAGGACAGTCTTTTCCTCTTACCATAGCCACCATAGCCATTCTAGCAGTACTTGATTCACTTTCAAATGCTTATATATTAAAAGTATAAAAATATAGGCATATGCACTTTTATTTTGCTTCAACAGGAAAGCATACCTTAATAGACACCAATATTTAAGCCCTAAGGAAGGTACTAAATACCCAATACCAAATAGCAGTATAAAATCTTCTAGAAATTCATGTTCACAGATGATGACCAGAGGAGAAAAATATACTCTGCAAGAGTACACAGTACCAATTCATAAGTGTTTTACCTCCCACCCTCCTAACAGAAAACTGATACATCTCATGAACATAAAAGCACAATAATACTAATTTTAGCTGTAGACGGTGCTTAAAGTGGGCTAAAGTGGATGAGGGTGTACTCTGGGCTCATCCTCAGCTATTGGATCCCCTAATTTTCCTTCCCCCAAAACCTATGCACCCATGTGTATTATTCATGTCTGTCTCTCTCTCTCTTACTCACTCACACACAAACAAACACACACACACACACACACACACACAGCAATTCAGAAAACAGAAATATAAATCTGGCTAAAGAAGAAGCAGTAGAAGCAGCCTTATAACAGTAAAAGAATCATCCCAAACTGTTATATTTATTAATAAGTAGAGGATATGATTTGGGACCATTTAAAAATAAAGTACTGGAAAATATTTCTGTAATACTGCTAGACTTCTTGTTAAGAAAAATTCACAAAGCAACAATAAACTTACATAAAAATATAAATTAGGAAATGTTCATTCTATAAAAGTTTTATACATTCCAACTTTGCTAGAATCATCATCATCATTTTTTTCCTTTATGAAAAATCTTAAGATGGATTCATGTTCTGATAATGCTCCAAAAAAAAAATCTTACCACAAAACCCAGAAAGAACTCTTTCATCCTACTCTCTGTAGAAAAGTTTCTAAATAGCTCTGGCATAACAACAATAATTTATAGCATAGAGATTTTTCACATGAAGATTAAGAACTTTATAAATGTCTTATTCTGAATGTGGCAAAACTGAATTGCTGAGATAGTGAATTGTCCAAAGTCTCATTAGGAATCAGAGCAAAGCCAAAAATAAAATTTAAGTCCAATTAACTGTCAAGATAGTGATCTGTCCACAAGGCAAAATATCTCAGTTACTATGGAAGATGCTCCTTCTAAAAACACAGGACAATTGTATATCATAATGATATTGTGATGTCATTTATGAGCGTGTGTGTGAGAAAGAATGCTATGCATATTACTGAATTCCCGTTGTTTCATTCTTATAGCATTTATTTCTTTATACTTATTACTTCTCTCTGCTACTAGACTGTAAGGTGTTTTATGGCAGGGGCCAAATCTTACCACTTTTGTACATGTAGTACAGTGCCTTGAATACAGTGCGCATTCTGTATGGGCTATGTTTGTGTATAAGATTTCATAGACATACACTCAATTATCACCTCCGAACCACCAAAGTAAATCATGGTAAGGACCTCTGAACGTCATTAATAAGCCAACCTCATATACTAAAGAATAATAAAAATATAATCAATAAAGTCTACTCCAATAATGGAAATACACAGAGATACCCTAGATATAACCTTAATATTATTTGTTAGTTGTGATTAAGTGCATAAATTAAGGTAGCAAAGAATGAATTAGCATTCTTTAACTCTAGTTAATCAACACTCTATTATGAGCTGATTTCCCCAGCTGGTGTATTATCCTAACTCTTTTGCTCCTTGTTTCTGAGATGCATCCTCTGACCATCTGATCACTTGGTGGCAGTTATACCAGAGTACACATGAATGGAGGTAAGAGGAGAAATAAATTCCAATCAATCCTTACTACTTATTAACAGGTTTTATGAGGTGCTGTTGTGAAATAGCAGGATAAAAATGAAGACTAAATTCAGTTTGAGGATTATACCATTCCAAAAACCTCCTTCACATATATCTCATTGATCAACTGTGAGTTTTATTTATCCGTGTTACTCTCGACCTCGATTACTAAAGAATGGGCTGAAAGACTTATTTTCTGGGCCTAATTTTTAACCTCTACTCAGGAACTACCTTCATTTTGCTTTAAAAATTTTCAACAGTCTTACCTCCCAGTCCAAATAATCACAGACATCTTCAAAGTTAGTGAGCAGAGATACTGAGCAGAAAAGCCGTGGCAGCTCATCCCTTGTCATTGGGGGAAAACGGCTATCTTTAAGGGCACTGTTGAAAACAAACATTAAAGCAATCACTAGATATGACATTTCCAAATTTCAAATGCAATCATTTGAAAAAGAGACTTAAAAAATTACATGCCAAAGGTACAATCATTTTCAAATATATTCAAAGACCCCAAAGATTTTAGAAATCTTTTTTTTTTCTAATATTTTATTGTACTTCAGGTGAAGGCTTACAGAACAAATAGTTTCTCATGAAACAGTAGTACACATGCTGTTTTATGACATT